CACTCAAATCTTCAATTGATGTTAGTTAACGATGAATATTACTATGAGTAAGTATTATCATTTATGATAATTTTAGCATAGTATCGAGTAAAACAGTTCTATTTGTCGTCAAAAAAGTTTACTTTTATTTAAATACTACTGATTTAAGTTTAAAAAATTAATTTCAAGTTTCTTTCTTAATAATATAGACTGTTCCCACACTAGTTATATCTGATATAAGGAATAATATTTTATTCATCTATAGAATCTAGCGTTTTGTGAATCCATGAAATCTAACTGACAAATCAACTAATTAGAAATCAATAGAACATGATGAGAACTCCGCCAGTAGAACCTTCGGGGCTACTGCCGGTCCTAAGCCCGGGTAAATGAGGAGGGTTGGACATAGGGTTGGTGACCCCATTCCGTCGAAATCTAACTTGCCAAAAAAACGCTAACCAGAAAAACTAAGAACATGATGAGTCCGAAATACACTGTAAGAAAGTTTCATACTGATAGGAATTCATTGGAAAAATATATAAATGGCTTAAAATCGTTTGCAATGGCGCAGGTGCATTTATTCTTTGTGTTCTCTCAAATTGTAACTTTTTGAATTCCTCATCGCCCCTATCTTTCTCTTTCTAAAGTTATCTCACTGAATTGTACTTCTCAAATCATATCTTCGAACCCTAATCTTCACCCATTATTGAGAATACTTATACTATCTCCAGCACTATGGGATTTAAACTGACAACTGCTTCTCTGTTCTGATGCGGTATGGCAACTTGAACTGATGTACATACGTACATACGAAGTTCTACGCTGTAATTGACTGACTGACTGACAATAGTTTGATCTGATATAGGGAATAATATTACATTCTAGGGTTTTATGAATTCATAAAATCCAACTATGAAACCAACCAACTAGAAGTCATCAGTCAAAAAAGCAGGATAACACAGTTTCATACTGACAGGGATTCATCGGAATAGTATATACAGCATTTAAAAAGTGACTCTAGCTATTTAGTATCTCAGAGATTGTACATTCCTATCTAAGGTTGTATTATACCTATGGTAACGTTTAGATTAAACATGAGTTTTAAAATAATTATATGTGATTTAGCATAATATTGAGTTATTTCACATTGTACAGTTTTGATTTATATAATGATGATCGATATGGGTAAACTTATATCAAGTAAGAAAGAAAAAAAATACAAATTTATTTTTGTTACATTCGTCTCTAGGTATGCTTAAACTATTACGAGTTCACCTTAGTCAAATAACGAGAACAAAACAGTGAACCACCTTCCAGGTAGGCTACTGTGATCCCTTGACCAAATTGTATCAGCAAGAAGTCTTGAAATAGTGCAGAAATTGTACTCTACAAACACCCGACCAGCAAACAATCAATCCAAGCACTCAAATTGCGTTTATTTATACTCTATAGAGACGACCTTGGGAGAGTCACAAAAATAGCACCACACTAAAATGACACAGTGACCAATCAGAGCCAAGGATTTTCCTTGTGGGAAATATGATCTCAAGGTCAACTGATCGGTCCATGAAATAAATTTAAAATAAAGATATTTATCAAGCGAGTTCTAGGGATCTAACATCCCAACAATTTTAATTAGAATTAATAAAGAAAAAGCCAGTCGAAAGGAAAAATTTCTTTTTGACTGAATTCTTGCATTCGTTTCAAAGTTGTAAATTTTGAAGTTTAACAAATTTTCTTACACTGAATTTTTTAATCTCGGATGTATATCTATATATATATTTTTTTTTTCACCAAAATAAATTGTTAAAGAAATCAGTTATTATGTTAATTTTAAGAAAAACATTGAGTTCTGTTTAGTGCATCGCAAATTCGACATTTCTGTAATTTTTATTTGTGAAAAAATTTAAATGGAATTTAGGTTTTAATTATTATTTTTGAAAGAATTATTCTACAAATTTTCTGTTAGTTGTATTTTTACTGCTTAATAAACATAATCCTATGGCCACAAGTACTTTACTCTTAAAGTGATGTATATCTGGTTTAGATATTTTTTACGAATGACGTGTTTTACATTCAGTGGAGGAGGAAATTAGGAAGAAACGCTGGAAATGGATAGGACAAATATTGAGGAAAGCACCCAACTGCATCACAAGACAAGCCCTCAGTTGGAACCCTCATGGTGAAGGGCAAATAGGAAGGCTGAGGAACAAACACATTACGCCGATAAGTGGAGATAGACATGAGAAGAATGAGCAACAGTTGTATAGAACCGGAAAGGGAGGCCCAGGACAGAGTAGGTTGGTGAAAAATGTTCGGCGACCTACGTGCTTCATTGGGGGTAACAGGCATAAGTAAGTATGTGTTTCACATTAGTAACATGTTCATAACTAATGTTGTCAAAATTATATATTTAAACCATGTCTTTTCGTATGAAATACACTTATTTTTCTCTAAATATTTCTTCCCCTGTCTAATTTGTATTATTTTGAATATACTCGTAAATTGTCACGTATACTATAATTGTTTTCAGAGTATATATATATATATATATATATATATATATATATATATATAATATATATATATATATATATATATATATATATATACATATATAATAGGAAGTATAAAGCTCTGTATACCTGTTCAAATATATCAAACTGAGAATATTTAAATCCTATATTAAATACTTATTTACAGTCTAGTGAGTTACATTTCTAAATTGAATTAGTTTGATGATATACAGCTATCTTTTTTCAACATCAATAAACAATGACTGTCTATATTTCGAATCGATTGATTTTATAAGTTCTCAGCTAATCTTATTTGTAACGATCAATCATTCGTGAATAGTATATGAAATTTTTAGGAATCACTATAAATTCATTTAGAAAGAATTGTGAAGATGTAACTGGATTATAACAGTTAGAAATATATGAAAAGAAAGAGTTCTTTTACAGTTCGCTTCATTCAATTTAAGATTTATTCGAACAAAACAATATTATTTTCAATAAAATAGTCATTATGTTTCTTTAATTATATGTCAAATACTACTTATTACGTAATTTCAATAGTTTTTAATGCAACGGTATTTAAATGTTACATATTTCCATGTAATCTGACCTAGTTGCTGGACACATTTGGATGGCATATGACACTTAGTTCTAATAAAATCTTACTATCACATTGAATTACCTAAAAATTAACTAGTTATTATAAGAAACTAAAACTCGTCAATATTTCTTGTATCAGTAACCAAAAAATCACCAATAGCAATTGGTTTCAGTAAAACACACAATAATTAAGCTTGTATTCCAATACTACTTAAAATTTTTGACTCTTATACTTGGATCACGTTGATGAAAGCCTTCATGTAATATCGTATAAGTATTCAGTATTCACTAAACTAAGTCAGATCAATAGATGAAGTAATGAAACTTCATCAGTTGAGGTGGTTAGGTCATGTGTTGCGTATGCCTAACCACCGACTGCCTCGAAGAGCTTTGTTTTGTAGTGTAGGAATAGGTTAGAAGAAAGCTAGGGGCGGCCAAACCAAAACATGGCAGAAATCCATGAAGTCATTGACAAGTGGACTGATAATAATAATCGATGGTTAGAGACCTTGAATGACATGGCTCAAAATCGTTCGCACTGGCGCCGGTGCATTTATTCTTTGTGTTCTCTCAAGTCCTAATCTTCTGGATTCTTCAACAACTCTAGTTTTGACTTTCTAAACTTTTCTCAGTGAATCATACTTCTTGAATAATAATATCTTCTAATCCTAACCTCTCCGACTACTTCTAATACTTTTACTACCTCTTCTACTATTGGATTTGAATTGACAATTGCATCTCTGTGTGCTAATGTGGTATGGCAACATGAACTAATGTACGTACGTACGTACGAAGTTCTACGTTGCATCTGACTGACCTACTGAAACTAGGTCGTCAAGTTATAAATCAAAAACTTATTTATTATAAATATCATTTGAAAAACAACAACAACAACAGATTCCTTTATCGCTGGCTAATCTGTTACGTTTTATTCATTTGAAATACTTTACGAAGATTTGAAAAACTATCAAACCGATATCACTTTTTGACAACATAAGGGATTTCATTTCAAAACATTTACAAAATGGATTCAAATTAAGGTGAATATTTTGAAGAATTTTGTATATAGTGTAAGGAGAAGAGTAAAAACAAAACAATATCATGTCCATCTAGTTCTTACACTAGTGAGAGAATTCCATCGATCAACCTAAAATATAAAAAGTAGTTGAAATGGTACAGCATTGCATGTACCTGTGTTGAAGTGTTGGGTAGTTGGAGGTAACAGATGGGAAATCAATATTATTATTATTATTATTACACATTTGAAATCATCAATCAGTTATTGTTAGACCACCATTAGAAACCTGGAAGCAATGGACAGCCGTTTCGTCCTGGTATGTGACTCATCAGTGGCAGTGCGCATCCACGACTCCTGCACCCATCAGGTTTCGAACCCGGGAACTTCAGTCTTGCGCGAGAACGCCTGACCTCTAGACCACTGGGCAGGCATCCAATACTGTTAATGTCTAACTCTGATTGATCTAAAGATTTTGCACTACCTCATCTATTTGTCTTTGGTAGTTACTGCCTACACTCGACAGGGTTGAACTCCACTGGTCAAGTCTTCTCACTAGAACTCCCAGAATTTCCTCACGAAGCTAGTCACTAGTGAGCACATTGTACGATTTTTCAATTAGAGTTATGGAGATTAGTGTTTTTACACATTTGAAATCATCAATCAATCAATCAATCATTGTTAGACCACCATTAGAAACCTGGAAGCACTGAAAGACGGCCGTTTCGTCCTGGTATGGGACTCATCAACAGGGCGCATGATTTAAATGTGTATGTAAAAACACTAATCTCCATAAATCTGATTGAAAATTATTACTATTATTATATACTAAATAAAATGGTTCGGTAGGATAAGTAAGTATATTACTCAAACCAATCTATTTAACTTACCACACCTTCCTCTATATTTCATGCTTAAATCAATCATCATAGTACATGCTTCACGACGTAAATGACAAATTGATTCATAATCACGATTATCTGAACCACATATAGGTCCTTTATCAGTGGAATCACCTACATCATAACATGTATTATAACATATACATGTTGGTCGTTTAAAATCAGCGGATGGTACACACCATGCTTGAAATGCACATGTATAATTTAAACATGGATTCGGTATATTTGGCGGGAATCTATATTTGAAACAATCATTATTGTTTAGTTTAGTTTTCGTCTCATTATGATTACTATTATTAATTGATTTGTCATTTTGTATATTACTAGTCCGTATTCTTCTTAATAAATGAGAATGATTAGAATTTTTGGTAGCGCATTGAATATTGAACAAGAAATGCACATTGAAAAAAACTGTTATCAAAAAATCAATAGTCAGTCTTCTCATTTTGTTTATTTTAAAACAACCACGATAATAATTGTTGCATTGTTATAATAATTAAACTTGGACAATTTAACAAAAAGTAAACATCTTGCATAACTAACTATTTTGATTGGACATTGAATGAGATTTGTGATATGAGTTAACTGGCAATTTATTTCTCAACCATGTATCCGTATGTATATACATATATATATATACACGTACAAATAAGTAAAAAAAACACATTAGAAAGGCATGTTTACACATACCGATAGATAGATAGATAGATACACATACCGGTTTAATTACACAGTGTGTACATGCATAAAATTACTGGATATAGTTGGATTTAATGTCATTTATGTAATTTACAAAGCTTCGACAGTTCAGTGAAAAAAATTTATTGACAATCTGTCTAGACGTGATAACATTTAGATATCAATCAATGATAATAAGGTTAGCATTATGGGATTTTTTGCAAGATGTGAATTATCCAATCAGAACTTATGGAACTAGTAGTGTTAAGTCATGTTATCTATGCAACCAATTATTAAATATGATAATTATTATAGAAGTGTGGATAACAAACACTACGACATACATAAATGTACATACTGTTTTAGTGTGTAATTAAATACAATATATAAGTGTTAATTATGATAGTGTCAAGAAACTAAGATCATGTTGATACTTGATCAACCAATCAACTTCATGATACATGTCTGTATTCAATTGATATTTATTTGTTATACTTTGATTGTAACCTTTTAAAATAAACACTGTACAAATTAGTTCAGTACTATTGATAGTGTTAAAATATAAGGAGTTGATTAATTTGTGTTTATTATGTAAAGGTTGCTTGAAGTGGTGGAATAACTGTTAGTGGATTATGACTAAATATACATTTCTGTGTAGTTTTATGGTCGAACTCTCAGTCAACATACAACGATTGAAGTGTATTTTGGAATGATGATACTACTGAATGAAATAAGCAGTAGTTAGATGTAAACTCTTCTAATAATGTGAAAAAACCCAGCTTAAACAGAAAAATAAACAATTTATTGTGATGTAAGGAGGCTAGTATGTACACTAGGGAACTTAACTAAATCAGATGATCAGTCAATCATTGTTGAACCACCATCAGAAGCATTGGACTGCCGTTTCATTCTGGTACGGGACTCATCAGCAGTGCACATCCATGACTCCTGCTACTCGTATGATTCGAACTCAGGACCTACGGTCTTGCATGCGAACGCCTAACCTCTAGTTCAGTGCTTCCAGGTTTCTAATGCTGGTCTAACAATGATTGATTGGTGATTTCACTGTGTTAAAACACTGACCTCCATAACTCTAATTGAAATAAAATTCACATAAAACCAAATATTTATTGATAACAGCGAATTCGGATTATTTAATTTTAAAGAGTATCAGATCATCATTTAAATGAAAGATTCAGAAATCACTTTAAATTAGATATTTTATATCAAATTTTTACAAAATAATCTACTTTAATTGTAACAAATATTACATTTGACAAAGTAAGCAAACTGAAACTAACGGTAACACCTCATCATATGTTATCACTCAGAACACAATGTACACTGACATAAATTTGATTTGGGAAAAAAGGTGAAAATCGTGGATCGGGAAGATTCAGAAAGTGCCAGAGAATTCGCAGAATTATGATATTCAGGTCAATTTGCAATCAGTAGGCTTATTAATTAGGAGTTTATATATTAATCTACTCAAAAATGAATTAATCGATCAAACACCCATGAATCTGCAGAATGAATCGTTCAACAGATATGGTCATTAAAACAAGTCGAGTTAACTTTAATGGAATAACCTGCGATGATGATTTGGATGACGAAAGCATTGAGGTTAAACTACTTAATTCAGGGGGAGGCCAGACCAAACCATGGTGGAAATCCATGAATTCACTGACAAGTGGACTGAGTCATGCGGTAGGTGTCGACTGCTTACCTGGTTGGGGTCCGCGAGATGATAGTAATCGATGGTTAGAGACCATGAGTAACATGCCTCAAAACCGTTCGCAATGGCGCAGGTGCATCCACTCTTTGTATGCTCTCAAATTCTAACCTTATGGATTCCTCATCACCCCTATCTTTCTCTTCCTAAACTTATCTCACTGAATCATACTTCTTGAATAACATCTTCGAACCCTAATCTCTCCGTTTACTTCTAATACTTTTACTACCTCTACTACTATGGGATTTGAATTGACAATTACATCTCTATGCTAATGTGGTATGGAAACTTGAACTGCTGTACTTACATACGAAGTTCTACGTTGTAACTGACTAACTGACTGACTGACTTAACTCAGTGACTGCAACATAATCTAAAATACATCAATCTGTTTTACAACATTATTATTTTTCCATTTGAATCATACAAAATGTTGTTCTCTAATTTCAAAACCACTTCGGTACCAGTAATAATGATATATTTGGTAAAATTCAAATGAGTAAAAAACTGAATTTCTTAGGTTTCTCAACCTAGTATAAGTTGCTATTTCAAGGAAGTTTCCACATTCTCATATCACCTAAAGCCATGATGATGACGATAAACCAATTTTCCTGTGCTTATTCTTGTATTTTAAGGGAATGATAAATAATCCTCAATTTAAATCTTAAAGTTTCCCTAAATCCACGTTCAGGTTTTATAGATTATTGGTATTTACATTTTCATAAATTTATAGTTGTATTTTTATTTACCATTCAATTTGTTAACTACGCTCACTAGTTATGATACGCTGGATAAACATAAACCCTCTTAGTTAATCTCTATTCAGATGGTGACATCAACTGATTTACGCAATGGATTTCTTGGTGCATATCAGTTAGCTCGTTACAACGTAGAACTTTGTGCGTATGAACATAAGTTCAGGTTGCCATATCACATTAGCTCAGAGCAGCAATCGTTAGTTCAAATCCCATAATAGTAGAGATAGCAGATGTAGTAGCGGTAACGAAGAAGATTAAGGTTCGATGAAATTATTCAAGAAGTATAATTTGGTGAGATAAATTTAGAAACAGGAAGGATAGAGGTAATGACGAATTCAGAAGATTAGAATTTCAGAGAACACAACGAGTGGATGCACCTGCGCCACTGCAAATGATTTTGAGCCATATCGTTCAAGGTCTTTAACCATCGGTTACTATTGTCTCGCGGACCCCAACCGGGCAGTCTACATCTACAAAAATGACTCAGACCACTTGTCACAATGTGTTTATGAATACAAAATCATAGGTATTATCAGTGTCAGGTTATGGGCATCATGAAATTATGAACCAACCTAAACTACACAACCATAGGAAACAAGAAAGTGATGAATATCTGTTTTGTCCTGGTAAAGGACTCCTTATCAGTGAACATTACCGACCCTGTAGTGTATTCAAGAAGAGAAAATGGAATTCATATTCGTATTCTGATAGGATTGTTATCACTATCAGGTTGTGGAGATTGTTGAATTCCACTAAAATCGTAAATCAAACGAAACTAGACAACCATTGTAAACGGAAAAGTACTGAATAGCCGTTTTGTCTTGGTAAAGGACTCCTTAGCAGTGATCATTAACGACCCTGCAGACAGATTTTCAATGGCTGTCTAACTTCAATCAGTTCATGATTTAAACATAATAATTAATGATCAACTTGTTATATTCTAATGAATTTGGTTTTTCTATGCTTGAAACTTTTACGTGTTCACCTTACTCGGTAAAAGAGAGCGAAGACAAATGATGCAATGACACAATAGGCTATTCTAATCCGTTGTCCCAGGCTCTGTTAGCTATATCCAGAAGTCTTAATAAGGCGAAGAAAATATATTCTACAAGCACCCAAATAATACGAGGTTGACGAGCACACAAATCGAGTTTATTTATACATCACAGAAACGTCCTTGGAAGCGCCACAAAAATAGCGTACTAAAATAGTGCATCAACCAATAAGGATTTTTCCTGGTGGGAAATCATATCTCAAGATCAACCGAACAGTCTATGCGCGAAAACACATTAAAATCCAAAATTAGGACCTTTTTAAGTGAGTCCTGGGGATCTAACATCCCCTCCCAACACAGGTTTACAATGGTTGTCTAACTTAGATCAGATCATAGTTTCAATATCATAATTACTGATCAAACGGTTATATTTTCATGAATTCGGCTTTTCTATTCAATAATCTTTTCACAATGTTTCTTATATTTGATTAGATTGTGAAATAAATTGTTATACAATTTTGTTTATTATGAGAGATTGGTTGTACAAAGGTTAAACATAAATATTTCATTTGTTACGACATATAAACGCACATGTTGAATTATAACATGAAAGTGTTTAGTTAAATTAGTTACTTGAAGTAACACAATGATCTTGTCATAATAACGATTACATAATTTTTACGAAAAAAAAGTTAAAATTCAACATAGACTAATGAATGAGTCAAAACAATTGACAGACAAGATAATCAATAAAATCTAAGGTGTAATTTTTTTGTTTTCAAGCTGTGAGTGGAGTGAATAAAGTCAAATCAGTTTTGATGATGATTAGACTACTATTTCTATAGTGTTAGAAGGTCTGGCGAAGATATATCATAGTCTTGAATACTAGATTCATGGTCACTAACTCTGAAGATTTTCATCATTCTGTCTATTTGACTAACTGGTCGGTTTATCCTAAATTTATTTAGCGTAATATTCATGGTTTATCACAGATCAGACGCATGACGCTCATAACTCTTGATATTTTATATTCACAATTATATAAATTAACCCTGAATTGTCAAGGGCAATTGTACATTGTTTTCAATTAGAGTCATTGAGATTAGCGTTTTTACACACTTGCAATCATCAATCAATCACTGTTAGACCACCATTAAAAACCTGGAAGCACTGGATGGCCGTTTCGTCATCAGCAGTGCGCATCCACGATTCCTGAGGCTTGCAGGATTCAAACCCGCGACCTTCGGTATTGTGCGCGAACGACTAACCATTGGACCACTGGACCCGCATCTAACGGTGTAATTGTCTAACTCTGATTGATCAGGAGAACCAAGGAGGCTGCCTACGCGTTAACATTTCAACGTGAATAGTTCGGCTCAATCCTGTGGTGCAACCAAACAGGTACCTGATACCCTGGTGGACCATTCACACTATTTATATACACTAGTGCAAAAGCCTTCGGGAATGTTGCAAAACAACCACCTATATCAAT